GTCCACATCATTGACATGCACACCCCCCAGCAGTTTACACAGGAGTATTCTTCCATGGAAAGGCTCGCCCTGCTCAGAGAGGTGGACCCATCCCATCCCCTCTTTCTAGTCACTTTTTTCCACCCAGGAAGTGCTCGATTTGCAGCCAAGACATGCCTCTTTGCATGTTGGCCCCGCATAGCTGCAAGAAGTCTGGGAAATTGGGGGGTTCTGGATTGCACGTGGCTTCCTGCATGCATTGAATTGATGAGAACAGGGTCATTGACGTGTTGCGTAGCACATCCACAGAGAGAACAACTGAATCACTCTTTGGCCGGCAGGAAAAGTTTCACGGCCACCGTGAGAACGGCATTTGCCTGGGTCTTGGCCCTGAACATAATGTTTATGAGAATCATATGATCCCAGGGTCAAACATTAGGCAAGAGAGAGATGTTCTCCTTCTGCCCGTTCCTAGGATTTTAAGGCCAGGATTGCTAAAACAAACAGTTGCAAACACATGGAAGTATGATTTAACACTCTCACACTTCAGCCCTGAGTCTGTCTACTCAGGAACAAGTCCTACTGTCTTCAAGGGGCTTAATTTCACAGAAGCGGGCCCAAGACTGTAGCCTTTTGAGTTTTTACAGCACAGTAAAAGGAGCATGCAGATTTAGCAGCTCATTTCCCTCCTCTACTGAAAAAAAACTAGTTCCAATTTTTCTGTTAACCACAATGGCATGTTTTCACAAGCAAAGCCCATGTTCTAAAGAAGACCAAAACTTAGAGCAGTTCTGAAGCTGGAGGTGGGCCTTATGGAATGACAGAGCTATAGGAAATGAGTCATGTGCTTTCCAAACCGAGAGATGCTGTGACATTGTGGTATTAGAAAAGGAGAAGGAAGGAAACACACACAAACGCCAGTTGTTCGTTTCCATACAACAGATGGAAAGAATTGTGAACCAGCTCTTTCTTCCGCATGGGAAACGTCTTGTAAAGAAGTTTCCATAAAAGAGGGTGCTTATGTTTAAACAAGGCAGATAGTGTACATTCAAAAGAGGCAAACAAATCAGCAATTTTGGGGGAAGCAGACACAGCCAAGAAGCAGTTTTCGATGAGGTAGCCATATTAATGTTTCAGCAAGCACAGCAGAAAACAAAACAAAACACCCAAATGACTCTTGCCTCTTTAAAGACAGATTTATTTCTGTCTGAGCTTTTGCGGTCTAAAATCCATCCCCTTAGACACTTATAATAATTTCTGCAGAGCTGGAAGGGACCGTATGGATCATTGAGTCCAGCCCCTGTCAAAGAGGCACAGCGGGGAATCAAACCCCCAACTTCTGGCTCAAGACCTAAACCACCGAGCCATCTAGCAGTTCCTGGTCCATAATAGGTAGTCTATACAGACTGCATGGTGGAGCAATTGAGATGGGGAAAGAAAGGGAAAGTGGCCCAGGAACAGGTGAAGTCCATCAATTTCAGGAATTCCTGGATCATAAACAAAAGGATGAAACCAAAAATACTGGGATAATAGCTTAATGTTATTTTATTTTAAGCAGTGTTTGCTGTAAGGATGAAGTAGAGAGAGGAACTGATAGGACTTCCTCTATAGCCCTGAAAACTTATATTTGCATCTTGCCCCTGGGGTTACATGACATTAACTGCTCTTCCTCCCAACACCAGATTTTTCTCTCACACACACAAACACATTTTGGAGGAGTTTGCCTTTTATTCCCCTGGGAAATTTTTCAAAATGCATTCCCCCCCCCCCACTGCAGTTAAAGATGAATGAGATAGCCTTTCTGGGGAAGATTTACCAGACTCTCTGGCGACAACCAAATCTATTCTGTCATGAAAATTGTAATCATGAGCGAATCAGCCCCAAACCTGACGTGCCTTGTGAGTTGAATAACATGGTGGCACAAAAATCATTCTAGAACAATGGTTCCCTGCCTTGGGTCCCCATTTGTTCTTGGACTTATATTCCCAGAAATCCTGGCCAGCAAAGCTGGTGGTGAAGGCTACTGGGAGTATAAATCCATGGAACATCCAGGGACCCAAAGTTGGGAACCACAGTTTCAGAATATTTAAGAATGGTGACCATAAGCCTTCCTCCCTCTTACTGCAGTGGTTGGAAGAGAAGAACTGAGGTCAGCTTCCTCATGCACCCCAAAACATTTTCTGCTACAAGCACAGTGACAGCTTATTTTTCAAATAGGTGGTGGAGCACTGATAGTGAACTAAGGTCCCTCCCTTGCAAAATGGTCTCAGTAGAGAATGTCACTCTTGTTCCTGGTGGCTTCTCCCTTCCTCTGACTACAGGTGATGGGTAGAAGCAACAGGTATAGACAACTTTTCAAAGTTACCGCTATCGTGCTCTCACCTATGTTTTGAATTTTTCTTAGCAGGTACGAAACAGCAAGTTTTGCCATACTAATACACCAGAGACCTCACCAATCACCTTTCATATCTCTGGACTGACTTTTCCATCCTAGGCCACGCAAAATCCCTTCAAAAGGCAAACACCTCTGTAAAAATTGAAACAGCGAATGTCCGGGATTCTGAGAAACAGGCATTAATACAAAATTGCCACCCCTGAAGGCTTCCTGGAGTTGAAAATGAGTTTTCTCCTCTCCCAGCTAGGGGCTGTCCAAAAAAGCTCAATTTCTGTCCTTCAGGGACATCCCTTTTTGTGTTTAAGAGATGCCAAACTACTCTCTCTCGAGGACTACTACAAACTGCAAAGATGAAAAATGAATTTTGACATATAGTGGAGGAGTATGAACACAAACATTTCCTCATTATTTTACTTCGGAGCTTGTAAGCACACCAGAGATGTTCAGCAAACAATTTGAGAAGGGGCATACTCTTGAATGAAATGTTACCTGTTAATGATATTTCATCTTACTTAATAGTGGTGGTGGGTGTGAAAGAACTCAAATATGTTGACAGCAGTTAATGTTTGTTGATGTCTAAAATAACTGACTCAGTGCCTTTGGGACTGGACAAAGATAAAATACAAATAACTAAATCGTACAGTTCTACCTAACAGAGAAATCTGAATATTGATATTGTCCTTCTTAAACATATCATCTTTTAAAAATGTTAACATGGGTGGTGCACAATAGAAAGTGGCACACCCAGCCAATAGGCACAACACGACAGATGGGGGCCTCAACAATGCCTTCCACCCCATGAATAGATCAGTAAAGGAACAAACACTGTAATGGCATGCTTGAGGGACACGAAGATCTTAGGTAAAATGATTCCCCCACAGGACAACACAGCCATCCTCTGTGTTGCAGTGGTCAGAGTGCTGAACCAGCACCTGGCTTCTGCTAAGCCATGAAACTCACTGGAGGGCTGGTTTCACTGGGCCACCCCCTTTCTCTCCGTCTGATCTAACTTGCAGACTTGCTGTAAGGATAAAGTAGAGAGAAGAACTGTGTATGCTACCTTCTCACAGGAGGCCTATTGATAGGTTGGGAAAGCAGAATACAACTGTTAATACACAAAGAGAACTTGCTTGAAGCATGAATCATTTGCAACAAATGCAGAGAGAATAATCCTCTTTTTTCCATTTCTTCCTTTATTCTGCCTCTGCATATGTCTCCACAAACGTAGCTCATGTTTCTCTGAATTCTTTCACGCCCCTCGACACATGGGAGTTGCATTCACAATGGCGGTACCTTATCTTCAATGTGCTGCTGGCAATTAATAGCCAGGGCATCTTTCATAACAACTGAAATTCAGAACTTGTTTCTCTATACTCCAATCTAATGAACTATTAAAAAGTGTGATAGTCATATGTGTACTATTTATTAGCCTTTACTGAAAGTCATGCTTTTCACTTTTCCATGTAATGAGGTTATTTTTTAGTGTAATGAGATTATTCATGACAAGGAATACAAGGATTAAAAGAACCACTAGACACCACTATAATTCTTAACTACAGACAATAAAGCTACCTTCCATTTTCCTTTAGAAAGGGCAGTAATTTAGAACATTTGCTAACCAGTTCTTCAATCCTAAACACAATATGGCAGTTCTACCAGTTGTTCCCAGTAATTGTTTGAAAATAATTAAGAACATTTTTTCACTACACAGAAGTTTATTATAGATGAACATAAGGTTAACATAACAGGGAAAGATAGCAAAAGCAATCTTCAAGCTTTAAGGCAACTCCTAACAGGCAAAGTTCAAAGAAGATGATGCAAATTCTGTTTAAATAGGAATTATGAAAAAAATGAAATTGCATCAATAATTTAATTTATAAGTCTCACAGGTCTGCACTACTTAGCAGAAGGAGAGGTTGTATGATCTTAATGCCAGCATTAAGATGTAGTGGCCTTGTTTATACAATCATATCTTTGGCTGACTGGACAATGAGCTTTTTACCTTTACCTACAGCCTGGCTGCTCCACACTAAGGATGGTCATATGTGGAAGCTCTTAATTAAGCACAGCTTCCTATTTCATGCTATCTGGAAATGATATTTATCAACTTTGAAAGAAGCATGGATATTAAAACACAGATGGGAGTTTCTTTAACAACTAGGCTAACTCCAAACTTGATAATCACTGCTTCTTGGTTTGGTTAAAATGGGAAGCTGTAGTTATGAGGTTTTCTGGTGTGAATATTTCCAAAGTGAATGGAGGAGAAAAGTGGCTGTGTGCATGGATAAACAGTACATTTGTACTTCAGTTTATCAAGCCAAGATATGATCATCTGAACGCAGCCATTAAGTAGCATGGTTCAAGAGAACAAGAAAGGAGTTATTTACACAGAGACTGACAAAACTGATATGTAACAAGATTAACTTCTGTACTAATAATTTGAAATAAGATGTGGAGATTTGTGTTTTTGGTAACTCCCAGAACAGCTGCCTCAAGAATTCTGAAAGTTGCAGTCCAAAAGCACAGATCACCACACTTCTATATGAAATCACCAGCTGAATCAATAAGGTAACAGCATACTATTTGAGAATACAGGGAACAGAAAACAACAGCAATTTTGAAAATATTCTTTTTGAATCTTTTAACGACATTATTTTTAGACCATTATTTCTTAACCAAAAGAGGACAACATACACAGGAACAATTATGATGTCAAAAAACATGTTACCACAATACATTCCTGCTTCGTGAACCTATGTGGAGCAGTACCAAACAGATAACTGATATAGTATATAAAGAATACTAAGGATGGTAGTACACAGCAGATCAGCTAAATCAAAATTTAAAAATATTTGCAACTACAGTATTGGAAATTCCAGCTGTTACCATTAACAAGGAACACAAGGCATATCAGTGCAACTGGCATTTGCAAGCATGTTTCAGAGGAGACAAAGCATACACTTAAAAACTGCATTACTTGAACTCCCACCAATTAGGGCGGTTCATGGTCTGGCATGATGCAAGCTGTTATTCCATAACCTTTAGCCCAGTGATTCTCATCCTTTGGCCCTCCAGATGTTTTAGACTTCTAGCCCAAATCCCACTGGGAAATCCACTGAGAAATCCAAAACAACTGGAGGACCAAAGACTGAGAACCAATTAGTTAAATGGTCAGAACAACAACAAAAAAAATCAGAATAAAAAAAAGGAACTTTCACTGTTTTTTCTTTTCTCTTTTAAAAACTTACATAAAAAGTTTTGTGCCCTCTCATCCTTCAAATCAGCAGTTCAGTCTTTGGTCCTTGGTATGTTCAGTACTTTGGGTGCAAGTGATCAGGTAGCATCAAGGTAATACCTTATAATGCAGGATTTTAAAGCGCAGGTTGACAACTGTGAGGTTTAAATTTCCTGTGATTGTTTCAGTTTTATTTTAAGAAAATACAGTTGGGACTACAATAGCAACTACCGAACTAACACTGGAGGGTGTTTTAACACTTTCTCTTTCAGCTGCTTGACAAGCAAAATCATCCATTTGAGAAGTTCGATTATTTTACTCCCCCCCCCTCCATTTTCAAAAAGGCTTCTCCAAAGGGACAGCCAGCTAGCAGCTTTGGTTCAAGGCCATCATTCATACACGCTAGAGTCGAATCAAAATGGAGTGATCCTACCCACGTCTAAAAAAATGCAGCCCCAAAAAGGAACCAGAAAGGTACAGGCAGGAACACAGAGGTTCATACCAGCACTTACATGGTGTGGTTCCTGGTAAAAAAAGCGAACCATCCCATCCTCCAAGCAGATCAAACAGCAGGACAAATGCCTGTGCAGTGAATCTCTGCTACAGCTGCTTTTTAAAAAAAGAAATCTGACATACTACTGTCAAATAACTTAAATCCTGGATTTTTGAATTGTTCTCCATGGGTGACAATCATTGATTCACACAGGAAGGTGAGAAAGAAAAGGCTTAAAAATGAGCTAGGAAACTTCTTTCCAGACAGTGATTATATTGCTCTTGCCTATATGGTTAGTGCTGCTTTTAAAATGTCAGTCCCAACTGAAAGGCAGTAGGCTAGTTTAGCACAATATAAACGGATAAGATAGTGCTGGAAACTTTGCCTTTTAACTATAGTTCTATAGAAATCACGAAATCTGGTCTTTAAAATACATTCTGGGAATCTGATGATAGTGACTCTACCCCATCTAGGGCAGAGTGATTTTATTTTCTTTAGGGCTCATTTGGAAGAATGATACTCACAGATCCCAAGGTACAGAATAACAAGAACTACTGGATATATGGCAAAAAGTCCTGTGTAGAGTACAAATATAAGAAAGTAGGGGATGAACTGCAAAAGCGGACAGTGTCTCATGATTTTATCCTAAATCCTGTGCTGTTGGAAAATACTGGAACAAAATTGCTCTGGAACAACATCAAAAGCATCTTTCTGAACAGTATGAGACTTTCCACATACAGTTAAAATACCTCAGTTCATATTTCTTCCTGAATTAGAGTAAGAATAGGATATAAAAACAATTAAAGCAGCTGTTTTCAACACAACTGCATTAAAGGTATCACCTTTACTCTCAGCCTAGCCAAATGTCAAACCTAATTAAAGAACTGTGACATCCCAGTTTCTTTCAGAATCCCCAAATAAAATCAAAGCCAGACTGCAATGAGTTTCAGTAAGTTATCTAAACAAAGAGCTACAGGACTGCCAAGCTGAAAGTAGATCATACAATCTACAACAGAATGTACTAAGATGAACATCTCTTTATGAATTAACTTGCATGTCAAAATATCTATCGTGGGATACTGCAATGTATTTATTTATTTATTTATTTATTTATTTTTAAAGTTAAATTCAATAAATCAACAGAAAATACTGTTTTACTTGGTTTAGGTTGCATGATGCAAGGAAACAATAAAGTGTGATACAACACTAAAGCAAGAGGGGGAGGAAAGTGCTAAAGACAGAACCACAAAAAATGCACATATAAAAGCATGAACATTAAGAAAAAGAAACTTCCAAAATCTCATATAAAAATCAGTTTAAAAAATTTTGGTTTTCAAGAAGTCACTTTTTTTTTATTTTGCAATGTGTTGACCTATTCTGAAATGAACAAGTATTAACGTTTGAGGAATTGTTTCTTTATGGCTGCATGAAGGGTTTTTCTCCCCATTAAAATAGTGCCAACAAAATTAAAAGCTTGCATAGAAAAACAAGAATCTCAAATTCCCACTGATGACATTTATAAAGAACCAAAATGCAGGTAATGCAACACAAATATAGTGCAAACCATGGCAGGACATGATAGTTTGGCTGCCGTAGGTCAAGGAAGAGACTGACGTATATACCCAGTTATCACAGTTTCTGGTCTTTCACTTCCATCATTTGACAAGTTTCAAAAGCAAATCTGGGACAGAGCTGATGCTTCTGTTAACGCAGTTTGAGATCATCGCCACTTCCCAGGTTTGATCCAGGACTAGGGTCTTGTTGTCTTCTTGCCTACATTAACATGAGGTGGGGCAGGGTGGGGGGAAGGGAGAAAGGGGGAAGGAAATGCTTAAAAAGTGTCTAGAATGTTTTAAAAGTAAAACAAATAAAAGTTTTAAAAATGACACTCTAAGCTGGCAAAATAATTGCTAGTCCCTCAATCCTCTCCCCATGCCACTCACAATAAATAAATGAATAAAAAATGTGGCACTCTTCCCCCAAAGAAAGAGCGCTGCAGAAATAATAATATAGCCGAATCTCCCAGCTGTTAAAAGGACAACGTATGCAGCAACCACAGGACAGAAATACAAATGCTAAATCAGTGTGGACTAATCCTGTGTGGGCATGCAGGACAGCTCCAGGCTGTGGAGCCAGAGGTTGGGAGTTCGATTCCCCCACTGGGCCTCCTTGACAGGGACTGGACTCAGTGATTCATAGGGTCCCTTCCAGCTTTGCAGCTGTAAGATTTTTAAATGGAGCACTGAAGAACTTAAGCCACAAAATATTTTTCAGTATTCTATAATAAGCTAAGAAATTAGCTTCGAATCCTGCTTTGTAACAACAGCAGGGAGTTCAGCAGATCTAATAAAATTGCATCCAAGGAAAAGTATCAGTATGATTTATAAGCCAACCCAGATGTATCACATCACTGTTCTTCCTGAACCAAAAAAAGATTTACCAGAGAACTGTGCTCTCAGGCAGCAGAGCTAACACTGGAGTGCCTTGGGGGTTATTTTTGAACCCACCCACTTCCGCAGCCCCAGCAACCCAATTTAATTTTTTGTGAGGAAGGGAAGACCAATTTTGATCAGAAAGCCTCTTTGTGCCCTCTAGCAGGCATGAGAGCAATTTTGCCAGGGTTCTCTCAAAATATTCTCAAATTCTAAATTTAATTTTTGGGCCACTAGAGGGTGCAACAGGGCTTTTTCAGCACAAGAAATTACTTTTTTTCATATATAAAGTTCAAATACATTAGAAAATCTAATTATTAGTGATAAACAGGTTGGCTACCCCTCCTCTGGTGGACCACATGCTACCAAAGGAACAAAGACAACCCAATAATCTCATTCCTCACTTGGTCACAAAATACTCCCAAGACAAGGGCCTGTAAATGATTACTAACAATTTCCTCCTCTATATTTCTCAGGAAATGGAAGATTGGGGTATATGGGCTGGGAAGTGAGGGGAAATAAATTTCCATTATAATTAATGCCCACTGAAAACTCAAAATTTGATAGATTTAAAATCATATGGCCTTTCTATTTTTAAAGTAAAGCCTGAAAATGAAATGGAAAGAAAACAAATTTGTTGGTTAGCACTTTAAAATGAGCCAAATAAATAAGTTAGAGGAAATCCCATAACTACACATTCAGTTTAAATTCTGCTTTCTCCAAAGTTCTGTCTCATGATCTGATTAGATGAAATTCATTTCCAGCAACAGAATTTAGTTAAGTACAGTGTGCATATCAGTTTCCAGCCCAAGCAAGCTGAAGAGCTACTTGACTCAATTCACTACTACTTTAAGAGACATCACAGAAATTCTCCTGATTCTGGTCACATATGCCGAAATGGCACTTGCATTGGACACACAATTCGGGGTGATCTTAACTTGCCAGAAGCACCAAAGAGACTGCAGATTTGTTATGCTTCCTTCCTTTAATGTGGTTGATTCTACAAATCAAGTATAATGCAGAATGTTCTGCAAGACTGAGATACACTCTCAGTGTGCACATGAACATGCTTCCCCCAGTCTACTGTTGGACAATACACGTTTCAATTGTATGCAGGTGAGGCAGAATTCAAAAGCTTCTTCTGTGATCTGTTGCAGTCAGTGCCAATATTAAGTACAAAAGAAACTTGCTATCCTACCAGATAGAAAGGGATAATGAGGATATAAACTAATGTATGCCCCTTTGAAAAGGAAGAAACTGTTATCTGCACATTTTTCATGTCCTTCATGTCTAACTGAAACCTACCACAAATGGTCATAACTACCAGCCTTTATTGTTGCAGAAATTACAAACAGAAACAAGGTGGCAAGTCAGTCCAGTAAACTAAAGGAGATTTTTTTCAAAATGTTGCAGAAAGAAACCAGATTAGAGACCAAAAGTATGGATGACTTTTTCTAAGTGCAGACAGACACTTAAGAGTCTGACTGTAAGAGACGCACAATGTATTGCAGAATTCTGTTGGATCCCAAGAAACCTGTGTTTAGTATTGTTTGAAAATTTCAAGCTGAAAGTCTAACGCTCACGGTATCAAGCAAAAAGCATTGACATTTCAATTTTTTTAAAAAGCAAATCTTGCAACCTTTTAGAAAAATAAAATTATATCAGACAAAATACACATAAAACAAAACAGATGGGAAAGGTTAGAGCAACTGTCAACTGATACAGAAACGTGGATCAGATGGTACCCTGGCTCTGAGGTGACTGGCAGGAGTAAGGCTTGCTTTCTGCATTCTGCTACTGTACCATTTTGGTTAAAGGCCTTCTCAGTGGTGTTCCTGTTATTATTATGACACTCCCTTCCATATGACCAACATGCAGCTGACCTCATTCACAGCTGCCTTTAAAAGGTTTTTTTTTAAGTGTTTGCTTTAGCTTTTAGCTAAGGTTTATCTTACCTGGATGACTGAGAACCTTCACAGACGAAGTTTATCTTATTTGCTGATGATAGTCATTTATTTCTATAAATGTTTTGTTTTAAAGTGTTTATATTTACTAGGGCTGCATTAATATATTTATACAATTTTAGTAATATATTTATACTGCTATATTCTTGACTGCTTGGCTTAAATAGACAAACTACATTTTGAAAGGTGCCAAAACTACAAAGCATGTGCAAGTGAGAAAGGGCCACTGTATGCCCCAATTAAGCAAACTTTTTAAGTTTTGCACAGAATCAGTGTTGAATGGAGCACAGAACAGGTCAGTTCTGCAAGGCAAGCAATATGTAATGTATGCTCTCCTTTCAGTCAATGCAGGTTAGAAAGGGCCTGCGCAATGGCCAGATACCAGCCGACAGTAATCAATAGTAATTATATATTTATAGCATCCTTACCAGGCATAAAACAACACTTTCTCAAATGAAAGCACCTTTCTTCCTAATGGTTAGAAAAATCTGTTAGAAGCAGACTTCCTTCCTAGATGTATGAAGATACCACACATCTGAAAAAGCAAACGGTAGCTGCAACTCAGTTTACAGGTTGTTAAGAAGCTGCAGTTTCCTGTTTCCTTTTGGAAAGGCTCCCAACATTACTTAATCAGAAACGTTAGCATTTCAAACCATGCAAAGTAACTTTCCTGTTATCATACACTAGCCGGAATCCAATGTATCTTCATATAATATGAAGTTATGCCTGTGTAAATTTGCTAGGCGTTATAGCCAGGCAGCACCTGAGGAAGTGCCTTGTGAATAGCACTTCTGCCTTGGCTCAGTTTGCATAATGCTGAGTTATGCAAGAGTATCTGCTCAATAGTATTCCAGACACTATCACATTACTTTGTCATTTCCTCTTCTACAACAGCATAAAGAAATCTGCATATCCAAAATATAGGCACAACATTTCTTTATTCTATTCATACCTAAAACAACTTTCTCCTTTTTTCTACCTCCATGTTGGACAACTAGCTATCATTCCCTCAGACATACTTGGTCTAATGAAGAATCATTTGATCTGTTCTGAATTCTGTTTCTACAGCTTAATCAAATACTGAAATTACAGGAAATGCCAATTCAGCACATGCTTCTAAAACTGTAGCATAAAGATTACTGACTGTCTTCCAACAACACAAAACACAACTCTTTGTCTACTCTAGACCCGGCCAGCCAGTGAGACTTGTATCAAGACAGAACCACATCAAGGATACTGGTGAGCACACTGGCAGTCTCCTGTCTGTGGCATCAGTGTATCTAGGAAACAGCATTCGTAATTTCTTGTTTGAATGGATTCACACATTTTGGCACATCCCACTTACTGAAGCATGAACTACCAGGGAAGAATCTTTCACTTGTCACTGTTTTTAAATGTAAGCCTTCGGACACAAAGAGAAGCTAATTAATAGCACAAGGAGCCAATAAAAAAATATTGGAATCATGTATTAGGGGATTCTGTGCAAGCACTGGAAAACATTAGAACCTGCTACTTACTAGCTGCAGAATTTGGCACCTGAAATATCTCAGCTTTCACTGACCACAAAACCATTACAATTCAACAGCCCTGTTGGATTTTTGAGGAATAACTGTACTTGGAGGCAAATGAGTAGGATTCCTGGTGATATTGGGGCCACAGGAAGCTCACTGGCCCTTCCTCATGAGGAATAGGGCCCAGCTCTTCTTGGCATAAAGTGCAATTCTATTAACAGGGAGTACACATCAGGGGAATGCATTTCAACATGAGGCATATCATTGCTAACCTGGTGACAGGGAAGTTTAAACCTCCATTTTGCTTGGTGCCATTTCACATTGATAACACAGATTTGATCACTGCTAACTGTAGGCTTTAAAGTTTTGAGCCTTGCCTCAGGCCTTGATTTACTTTAATTAATAATGTATTAACAAGAATGGTAAGGAAGCACCCCTTAGAAATCTACGAAACACACAGAATGTATTAGCCTTTTACTCTGGAAGCATTATGATGATTCTGAAACAGACTTTATCAGTAAGTCTTCCTAGCAGGAAGAGAAATTTTACTACCCACACTAAAAAGAAATCCTGTAGACAACACTTTCCAGATGTTGTTATGTGATATGTAACATCCATTCTTCCTGTGAATCTTTGCCTCCTGACTCCAGCTACAGCTCCCAAGCATCATTTCTTCCTCCCTGTCTTGATTTGTCTTGTAAATTTGCAGTTCTCTCGGTGCTCAATCTCACTTTTGGGTGTCTGTTTCATCCCTATGCTTGCTAAGTACCATGTTATTATTCTTAAAACTTATTGGCCACATCTCTGCACACTGTTTTAACAGTAATTCTGATCTGCTGGCAGTGATGGAAGGCCAATCTCCCAACAGTGTATGTTCATAGGCAAACCCAACAGGGTTAACCTTTCCATCTTCTCCCTTCCCACTGCAACATTCTGTATCTTGCAAATCTATTCCAAAGGCTGTCTGGCCCTTCAAGATTTATTAGGGTGTATGGGGGAGTGGAAAAGGGAGGGGAAAGCACAATAAACTCAAATATGACCGCTGTTAAAGCTATTTAAGCTATATATGTTTTAAGAAAGTTCTATGCATATCTTGCAGCAAGGCAAAGCATACATTTCAAACAATTAAACTTTTAAATTTCCATCATTTCTGTTTTTAAGCCTTCTACCTGTCTGTAAGCAAGTATGCAGTATGGTGAAAATATAAGGTTATGGTTTATCTTAAAACAGCAATATACCATATTTTCCCCCATGGAAACAGAACTGAGGTTAGATAAGGTCTTCTTTTCATGATAAACTGAGCAAAACTGAACAAAGAAAACTAATGCGATTTGGTCATAGATTTTTTTTAAACTATATATAGATCATTGTTGTTGCTATCCTTGATGTTGTTATGCATGCATCAGATTCAGCATACTAGAAACATAGCCTCATTCCAAAACAACACTTTCTTTTAGTAGTATAATGTACACGTTACTCTAGCTGTAACTTTCTACCCTAAAGTAAGCCATAATTAGAATAGGCTGGAGTTAACTCACCAAAGTCTCACAGATTCAGTGGGCCTACTCCAGTGCAAATTACTACACTAGCCAATAAGATTTCAGTCATGTACTACATTATCTGAGCACATAAAATCTTTTTAAGCAATCTACCATGTGACATAAAATATTATTTTCTCCTTACATTTTACACATATTTCAACTAATTATCAGCACCATGTTTTCCTCCATTTCCTCTGGCTCACCTGCAAAATAAAAACTGCTGTTCTATAATACAATTTCATTTGATCTAATACGACAAAATCTTATTAAACAATGTTCAATGCAGAATTCTACCATATGTATTTATTTAATCTGTATATCGCCCCAAGTGATGTGGAACACACTAAAACTGGGCATTTTGTTTTGATTCTCTTGTTTGACAGAAGAGTGGATGTTAACAATACTAGATCAAATCAGCTTAAATTCACATCTTCAACTGGCTTAGACGTCCCCATTTCAAATGGCAACCTTTCTTAAGGCTAAAAAGATGTTAACTTGTAATGTATTAATATCATTATTTTAGTCTAAACACAGAATTAAAATAGCAGCATATAAATAAAATATCAGATTTTAATAACATGCTGTAGACACAAAATTATTCTGGGGGAATAAAAAAATCTAGATTTTTGGTAGAGTACTAACCAGTAACTGACAGCAGCTGTGAAACTCTCACCTCCATTTCCTCCCGATGAGACCTGTCCCTGTCTTCGAATTCACGGGTTCTTCTTCGGGCTTCTTCAAAGGCCTGTTGTGCCAATGCATCTTCCTGCTACCAAGCAGAAGCACAGAGTCACTCAAGCTGCAGCTTTACTTTCATTTCAATACATGATGGCTGTTTACTTGCATTTTCTTTATTTACTGGACTGCAATCCCACTTTCCTCCCCAAAATCAGATTAATTCTTGATATCCATGAGTGTAATGCCAAAATTGGGAAAGGATGTACAACCTAAAGATATTAGCTACTGATTATGCAGAACCACTATCAACATGCTTTTTCCACTGGCCAAATTTAACAACAGATATACTATCAATGGAAAATGAACAAACGAAATATTGTAAGTGAACATATAAAATAACTATGTTCCTATGATCAGAACACTTACTAAAATAATAGTGTGATACAGTTCCACTAAGGGTGCAACCATCACATGGGGGCTCCACCCAGCCTCTTCTTGGTGTACAGACAGTGGGGTGCTATGAGCGATGGAAACAAACTTATGATAGTGGCAAAGTGGGGGAGAGTAAAGCTCTGTTGAGCTACAGGCAAATTCTAGGCAGCCAAGCAGAGGCTCTTAACGTCTCCCTCAGTACTTACATATATTAGTTACCTTCTGTTGTCTTAACTGCCAATATGGTTTTAGTTAAGGACAAGCAGAGAAAACTGGATATAAAAAAGTGAGAGCACAATTTCCTTTAAAAAACAGATGTAGTAATAGAGAACTGGTATTGGAGCACAGAACCTGGAATGGAAATAAATAACTTGGGGTGCTCTGTCAAGTTTCCCAGTGAATTGGCATAGAAAGGAGAAATGCATATGTAAAAAAGCACAATTCTGATGCACTGTGCTAGGCAGAAGAACATCCTTTCTTCTTTGTTCAGTTTTTTTACTTTTATATTAAGCAATACATACAAGATACAACTGCCAAAAGTACAATCATGCTACCTTTAGATGTGATGCTATCTCTCTAACACTCAGCCTTTCCTAAGATTCATGGATGCAAAAAAAAAAATTAAAAAAAAAAATCTCGCTCCAGAGAACCAGCTACATTTTAATATACCAAGGGACTAAGCACATTAAATTTTAAATAAAATATCTATAGTGAGAGAATGTCAAATTGCCTTTTTTGCCAAAGGCACTTCCTGTACCCTAAAGCTATTTTGTGAAATGATGTGAAAGAGTGCCCCCTGTGGCTTAGCTTAGCTTAATACAAACATCTGTCAATCAATAAACACCAGTTAAATCCTCAGCACTATATACTGAAGGGAAACATGCAAATTTGCCAGTAGGCTCTACTTTTGGGTAGCAGATCAGGTTCCCATTGGCACTTTTTACAATGTAACCAAAAAAAATCACAATCCTTTTCTGATATGGAAACACTGAGAACATGGGAGGTATAAGGTGGTTTCCTACAAGAAGCAACATGACAGATTACAGCAGAACGTTCATTAAAGACCATTAATAAGTTAATAAAAATATCTTATTTTTAAAGAATCATGCACAATTTCACAGTTTTGGTTTATGAATTACAGGAATATTTTAAGTCTGGTAAATTAAAAGTCAAAAATTGTTGTATATATATTTAGAAGGTTAAATAACTCAGTCATTTTTGAATCTTGCTTTTATCCATTACTTGATTCATATAGTTAAGGGAGCAGGGCATGAATATCAGGCTAGTAGAGTGGCAGAAATCTAAGGAGCCAGAGAGAGGAAGAGGATAGCCTTGAAAATATAGTTAAGTGTTAGACGGAAACACCTTTAACGAATGCAAAGTAGAATATGACTAGTCAATACAAAGGCCCAAGGAAATCTCCATTTAAGGAAGATTCTGCACATGCTTGGCATGAGAAGGGAGTGGGAAGCAAGAGAACGTGGTGGATTGGAAACCCTGTTGTGAAGGAGAGCAGGCTGCATTTCCTATCTCAGTTTGAGCAAGCCATGCAAATCCCAGTCTACAGTTTGACAAATAAGGATTTTCAGTGCTAAATGCAGTTTTAGTCCCAAACAGAGAAGAGCCATTAAAATGATGGGGGTGAAGAACACATGCACACAAGTCTGAACTGAAGCAAGCCCACTATGGAAACTCAACCGGAAACTCAAGAGGTTTTTGCTACCCATCACTTGAATTAAGGAGTGAATAAAAGGATGATGAATGAGCGTACAAATATTTTCAGTGACAAAGGTGAAATCAAAAACTTGTGGGGAAATGAGCGTACAAATATTTTCAGTGACAAAGAAAGGTGAAATCAAAAGCTTGTGGGGGGGAAAATACACAAGGTAAGTGTAAAAAGAAACTCAAAAAGTCCAGACATAAAAGTCTCTACTGCCTTTTTAAAAAAAGACCTTTCTCCCAGCAAAAAAGGCAGGTCTAAATGTGTGATCATGTTTGACTGATACTGCTAAGTCTAAAAAACTTTAGAGTGGTGCTGCTTGAATTTTCCATTTCTCTTTACAGAATTTTGTCTTTCACTTATAAAGTATATGTCATAATTTTACAGCTTTTAGTGCATGAAAGGACTGGCATTTGAGAATTTTCAAAAAGCCGTTCTTACCTGTGCCCGCTCTTCATCAAATTCTAAGCAGCCCATGCCATCCAGTCTCTGGAGATCTATCCAGCCTTTCCAAATAACACAAACACCATTAAGAATCATAGGTGCTTTTAAGTAGACCTAAAATATGAGAAGATACATGCCAATAGTGCAGACTGTATATATATATACATATATATACATACAGGAATTTACACAGAGATTTCACATGCTACAACACATTCTGACTCAGCCCATACCTACCAAAATACTAGTGCATGCATTGTACTATCAAATCTGCAGAGTCGACCCACATATGCTAGACTACAGGTGCTAAAGCTAGATCACAAAGTTTGGCTCCTGTTCTTTCATTCAGTTCTCCAACCACTTCCCTTTTTATCTTGAATCAGATGGGAGGATAACCATTGCCAACTCTAGTGGGGAGGGGGCAGTCCAGTCAGCATAAGAACACTTGGTTTGCTATGGAATTTACTTAATGACAAAGTTACCTGACGAAAGAACCATCTATAGACTTTCTCGCATTTCCTTAAGTTCACTTACTATGTATGCAGCAATGTTAGTATAAAAGGAAATTAACATGCAGGGAGTAGGCAGTAGAAATGGCCAGATTATGAGGTAGTAGAACAAAGAAAGTGAAGCAAAGGAAAAGGAGTGTCTTTGATTAGAAAGAAAAAGAAAAGTGCACAGGTGAGGATGAAGATATTTCAACTAAGCTACTACAAACAGTATTTTCATCTTTGCATGTAACGGACATGCAATCTATTTTAAATCCATAATGTATATGTGCCAGATTAAAATGAGTATGTTTTCAGGTACTTACAAAGAACTTGAGATCAAATCCTAAATTAAGAGATAATCATGCTTAAAATCTGTATGGGTGTAACAGCGAATCATAGTTAAAGAATAGCAGAGAGGGAGTATGGAAATTTCCATGCTAGGGGGAAGAGCTGGCAAAGGGAGAGAGAGAGAGAGAAAAAGAAGAGGAACTATGCTGTCAGATTGTCCAATGCACTGAACAATGGTTACATCCTTTAATGGACTTTAAATGGTATTCAGAGTTTTACTACACACAAAGATTGTTAAAAATGACATAGCATTCTAGCTTTAAATGCCAACAAAATGAGACCAAAACAAATCATCTTGGAAAACTGTCTATAAAGTGTTCTAATTTTCCTCATTTTCAATTTTCTCTAAGTTTTGCATTCGTATTCTATAGGTACGGTTACCATTACAATGAAACTCTTCTGTTTCAAATATATGAAACATAGTAGCAATGAAAACTCACAAACCAACTAGACCTGGATTATAACTTTATGCTTCTTATAATTATTATGCAATATGCAGTGTGTACATAAAGTGTCTCTGTAATTTTGCACATTACATGTAAAGGAAAGTAGAAAATAAGAACAGTGAAAAAACCATCTGCTTGTTAGGCGAGTATATGACTAATTTTGGACATTTATTTCAAAGTATTCAAATAATGACTACTCTACTCGTTAACAGCTTGTTAAAAAAATGGTCAGACGTCTTGGGCCTACAAAGTTTAGAACCAGACACAAGATTATTCCAGACTTCATCCAAGAGAATAAAAGTTAATTGTTTCATTGATTCAGGCCAGAACTCAAAAACTCCTGCCTACTGGTAGGACAAGGAAATGCCCCACACTAAATACTACAACAGTTCACATGGCAAGATATAGAAATCATAAAAAGTTTTATCCTTTATTAAAATGAGATGAAAGGATCAGATATTAATATATATATATAATATATATATCTGATCCTTCAATCTCATTTTAATAAAGGATAACACTTTTTATGATCAGAATGATGTTCTCCAAAGAAATACAATATTGAGCAAGAAGGTCAAAAATAACCACTTGAAAGATTTTTGGAGGGTAATGAAAGATGAAGTAGACTTCTAAAGCTTGAGGGCAATCATCATGAAATTCATGGCTATTTTGCCTTCCTTCCAAATATGAAGATCTAGCTCTTTACAAACTTGTGAAAAATGTGGACACACATTTTGTCTTAAATTCTCTGACTGTACAAGTGCATACTCTGTTTGATTTACTGATTTTTTCAAACATTTTCTGAGTGCTATATCTTCAATATGCTGAGTAATGGGCTTTTGAATCCTGCAACATGTTTTGCCCTCACCTGCTTTACTCTATTCTCTTTAGAGCTCCAAGTGTAATAAATGATTTTTTTTTCATTTGCAGCAATACTTACATTCCCTTACTTTTAAACTTTTTTTTCTCTCTACAAAATGTCATTTTAAATCAAAAGTACAATTTCCTTTCTGTTGGGGAGAATAGTAGAAGGCTACATTTTGGCACAAACTGCCAGCTGCTATTGCTGAAGCCGTTTGACCACACTTCCTTCATTGAAGATAAAACTTGTTTCCTCTGTATTTCTAAGTCTATTTTTGGTACACAACTACCACATTGAACTCTTAAGTCAGTTTATTCTTCAAAAGTAAACTAGTCTTCAAACAAAATTACCTGAACAGACATCCCACTCACTGCATACCACTTCAAAACAACTGCTGTCCAAATACAACAGCACTAACAATACTAGTGTCTCATAAACATTAGGATATGAAGAGCATTTTGTTAGTCCTAGCACTATACAGAATAATACTATGCGTACTATGTATCACCTACAAAAGAAAAATAAAATTCCCTCACAACAAATTAGAGAAAAACTAAACTGCAACTTTCTGGTGAACTTAGGTTACATACCTAACACAACAAACAAATAATTTTCGGCCAGAAACTGATTTTGATTATCAGTGGGGTCACATCCAGAAAATCATTTTTTTGTTTGCTATGAGAAGCAAATAGGTCCATAGGGCATGCACAGTGTATTCTCCTCACCCTAGGTGAACATTTGCCACATCAGGTCCAGATGCTCACATGATAAAAAGAGTTTAGGGGCTTCTTGATTATCAGCAAATCCATGTAGCCTGTTAGTTTCTCTGTAGGTCTGAGACAAGAGTTTGGGGCAACAACATGTACAATCCAGAAGCATGCTACTGTCTGCTGCTAGGCAGAAGAGGTTTTACTTTTATAGGGCCCAAGATAGCTCAGATCTACCAGGTTGTCTTCGGAATACTATGGTTCATATATGCAACTCCTGTTAGAATACTTTAATCACTTTACAGTATTCACTTATGTGAAGCACAAAGCTGCTTTAGCTCTCAGAGGGCTCTTTGCAAAATTTCTTTAAGGAAACACCTTCATGCATTTTGTAATTGAGGTTTCACTGACTAATAATACTAGAAAAACCAAGCTGGTCACTTACAAGCATGCACATAAACAAAAAACAGACAAGATCTATTTACGACAGGTCAAGAAGTTGGAACAATAGAGCCTTAATTTCCAAGTTTACTCTACTGCCTTCCAAACACATCTTACAGAGAACACACTAATCCAGTGTTTCCCAACCAAGGGAGTCCAAAATGTTTTATGGGGTGTGTGTGTGTGAGTCACCTTTTATGTGCTGCAGCCCTTGTTAAATAATTTCTTTCTTGACCTTTTGGAGCTAAGGTTACTGTGTATGTGTAAGCATGAGAAATAGGGCCTGGGGGGTGAGTGAAGGCGAAGCCTCTATTTTCTGAGAGGGGATGACTTTACTCCATTAAAAATGCCTTTTTATTCAAATGTGGCAGGAGGAATTGCAGGTAACTTGACTATTATAAAAGGGGATTGTGACTCAAAAAGGGTTGGGAACTACTGTTCTAATCTATAAAACATATACCTTATTCATTTACCAACTGCATTTCATGGTGTTGTCAAAAGGTAACACAAGCTCAGCTCTCAAACTGTCATATCTTCCTTGAGAGCTTCAATCTGAAAGCTGTAAATGTTTGTGAGATGCTCTATTTGCCACAGAAGCTCAGGAAATAAATCAATATGACAGGATCACACTTTTTCTCACTATCTTAAGATTACTACAGAAGCATTTTTTTTTCTAAGACAACTGAATCATTTCTACATCAGAGTGCACACAGTTCACCAGTTACCACCATCAGTTGGTGAGTCAGCACACTATCAGTCACCATATAGACAAAAAGGCATGAACACTCTACTGCTCTGGAATCTGTTTTCAGTCATATTCCCAGCAAACATGCTGATCATACATTCTTGTAGAAGATACTCAGGTGTGAGTCACTGTCCATGTACAGTCTTCCCTATTGATAAGCACACAGTGAAATGCCTGTCTACTTATTAAGCACAGCAATTATGCTTGAATGTTAATTCCACCTTCCCCTGAATCATGCCAGCCACCAAAGGCTAAAACTCTAATTTTTAATGATTGCTAACCATCATTAACAGAACAGAACAGTCTAGGGCTTCATTAGAGATTATGAAGGATTCCTCACTTCTAACAAATCTAGAACTCTTCATATCATCAGAGAAATTAATGACAGGCTGTTCTGACTATTTCACAGGAAATCTTTTCATTGCATTTTTTCAGGAAACAGCAGCAATTCCATAACAATAACAGAACATACAACCCATTAAGTGGTTGTCTCAAGCCACCTAGAAGTCAGTCTTTAAACTAAAGCCCTAACCGAATACATGCAAATTGTTTGTTCCTTATTAGCAATGAGGCAACAGGTATTGTTCCCTGTTACTAATGCAGAGCCTCATGAGTTACTTCAACCCTCATTAAAAAAAAAAAAAAGAAAGAAAGAAAAAGCTAGAATATATATTCTGGAAAGAAAGAAAGAAAGAAAGAAAGAAGCTAGAATATATATTCTGGGACCACGAGTCTAAAGCTTTTTAGCCTGACTAGTTAAATAACTTACCATGTTTAGACAGCTGAGCATTAAGTATCTAAAATGATAAGATCCTATATAACAGTGAATTTTTAAAATCTCTGACACAGTGTACCTTGTGGCTTTTCTCAGAATATGTAGACTATCCAAACAATTCAATGTGTCACAGTCAGCAGTCAACCAGAATGTCAATGGGGGAGCAGAGCTGAGAAAGAAAATAGACTACCTAGCTTAGTTAGACTAGGTGGTTCTCCATGAAGATGCTAAAACAGTCTAGATACCATGACAATGATTTGTTACTCATATTAGTAAACTTAATGAGATTTGTATGAGAA